CCAGGCAAAACACAAATTATTTCTAGATTACTGATCATTTTCAACTATTTAATGATATTTCTACCTAGGCAGAGAACTTCCTGAAGCATGTGACTGTGAGAAGACCCAACTCAACTCCACTAATACGGATTTTCTTCTATGAATTGCACACCTCTCTTTAAAACTAAACATACATAGAATAAAGGAGCCAACAGGTGTAAAAGACAGCAGTCAAATAAAGCTTCAGTATCTTTGACTGAGGCAGCCAACACTGAGAAGTCACACCACATGGCACATCCAGGACACAGAAGTAAAAGACAAGGCCCTTGTTCTCAAGAGGCTGAAGTTTTTGTAGATAAAGAAAACACAAGTAACCAGATAACAACAGTACTATTATAAGTGCTGTGATTGTGTCATGCACAAGAAACAAGGAAAAGTCTAAGGACAAGGAGATTTGCTGAATACAGAGCAGTTAGTGTTTCTACATTTCAGGGACATGGGCTCAAAACAAAACAAAAAAATACCTGCTCCTCAGAAAGTTGCAATGAATCCAGGCTGATGGTAAAATTGGGTTACCTTAGAAGTGTCAGAATAGGAGTGAAGCGCATCTGGCCCAGGTGCTGGGAGCTATACTGACCCCTGTACCTCCTAAGGCAAAGGTACTTTAAACCCAACCCCCAGTTACCACCAGTACCTAGGACCACAGTAGAGAGTGCATCTGTTACAGCAGGAATGAACATTCTGACAAAATTATTTTTTATGCATTCAATTCCGAAAAAAAACCTCTTAAATTCCCAGTGTCATATCTAACCTTTTGGCATACATGAAGAGGCCGAAGCTAACAAGGATAACTATCAGGTAGACGTTGGTGGCTTCATTCCAGGCTTCATGAACAGTGTAATCAATAGAACCATCATCACCCATGACTCTGTAACTCCCAGACATATGGCTGTAAGAGAAAAGGAAGGATGTTGACAAACACATGGCCTGCTGGCTAACAGCCTGTTCGTTCTGTTTTATCTTTGGTCTTGGCTGTATGAGATAGGGTCTCACTAAGTAGGTTAGGCTAGTCTTGAACTCATTATTTAGCCCAGGCTAGCCTCCAACTCATGGTGACCCTCCTGCCTTAGCTTACTGAGTTCTGGGTTTACAGGTATGCACTACCATGCCTGGCTTCTGTTTTTAAATGGCCCACAAGTCAAGATTGGCTTTATATTTCTAACCAGATACATACTCATTTATATTCTTTGGTACTGGGTGGAACCCAGGGCCTTCTGTATGCTAGGCTCACTTCACCACTGAGCTGCATGGCAAGCCCGTAAATGGGCACATTTTTAGTGCTTCTAAGAATCTGTGTAACATCCTTGATTTCCCTCAGAGGGCACAAAGCCTAAATATTTTCAATCTGACCATTTAGGACAAAGTTTACTAAAAAAATGTTGACAGACCTCTGGCCTCCACAATTATAGCACAAACACATCTCCCCTTACTTTTAACTTGGAAACTATATAGCTCCCATAGAAAGATCAAAATAAGCTCACCTAAAAAACAGCTCAACAACAACGAAAAACTCACTAAGGGATAAAAATATTAAAATGATGGACATTGTAATGTCTATTAAATGGACAGACATTGCAAACTGTAACTATCATCCAGATGAAGGCAACAGAACACTTGAAAACACAGACCAGACTTGAGCTGGCTATGACATTCAGAACACCATCACCCTGGGGACCACAGCCTGGAAAGTACAAGGTGGCCCTACCAGTGCTCTTCTACCAGCTCCACCAAGCCTGAGGCTGGAGCTAGAGCCAGATGTGGCCTGAGGCCACATCTGGCTGACAGAAGTTATGGGCTAAAGAGTTCCATTTTGCTATTTATACAGCTGTTACTCTATCAAAGAATGGAACATTTTCACAGAAAGTAAGAGTGGCAATACCAAGTGTTATCATACAGCACGTAAAACAGGAATAATTTTCTGTTTCTTTGAGGAATTAATTGATCTGAGTTTAAAAAAAAAGTTCCTCCTTTATGTAGGACCTCGTAAGTGAAAGAGATGCAGAAGTGTTGCTTTAGATACAACACTAAAAGGAGAGAAATGGAAGTAATGATAGGTGGTAACTGTACTGTAGTTTCTAAGAATAAGATAGCCATTTTTTAATACCCAGAAAAGGCATATCTAGAATGTACAAGCTGTTTTGCAATTGTTTCTAAGCTGCACACCAACAATGAAGACAAAGCAGAAATTCCTCCACTGGAGTACCTTGCGGTCTATCCTGTAAGCCATCCACGTGTACATTAATGTTAATTTCGCTCAGGAAGTTAGTAAGTCTGATTAAGGACATAGTTGGTTTTCTTCTTGCTTACCTAGGAATGACACTTCAGGACAGGCCTGCTTCTAAGCCAGGTGGTATGTTTTCCCCTTGCTGCTATCTTAAGTCTTAGTCAAAGGTTTGGGGACATAGTATTTATTCAGAATTAAGTATCATGAACAGCCATTTAATTAAAACGCCTAACACAGAGGGCAAGAGTATTTTCTTTAAAGCACCTATTGGTTTCTGATAAAAATAAAGATGAGCCTAATGAAAATTATCCAGGAAGCCATAAAAAATAATACATTATAAGAATGTACAGGCACAAGATCAAAATTTTACACATAAACTATACAATTTCTAGATATTAGAGACTGGCTACATGTGTATTTCTAAGAGTAGGAGATACAGGGCATCATCCCATTATCTGTTCCTATTCTTTAACACAACTGTAAAGGTTCTCTAAATTTAACATTATGATTTATAGTATGTAATCAGCCTACTTTAGAGATGAAGAATTCTAGGAAAACAGAAACCATAATTGTCTTTATAATTTATAACAAAATGTTAAAATAACAACAATGACCATGCTTGGCAAAAAAACAAGAGTGGGGGTAGGGTATGAGTTTAAGTGTCTGATTTGAGATGCTGCAGAAGGCCCAGATGATTATGCAGCAAGGGTAGGAGCTTTCAGGACTGAGAGTTACTTTTAAATTGGGGAGAAACAAGGATCAACACAGCAATGGCCATTAGGACACTGTGCAGGTACCATTTGTCTGACAATTATAGAAGTTTCCAGCCTCCTCCCTAATGCTTGAATGGACCTGAACTAGGTTCAGTTCTTGCTTCAACTTTTTAAACAATTCTAATGTGCCATTCAATAAATGGGGTGGATTCCTACCCAGAGTTTTGATTTCTCCTGCTCTGAGGATGCCACATTTTAATTATATTTAGGAAAACATTTCTAATTACTGCTGACCTAGAATGGTAAAATTTTAATGTGAATTATATAACACACATTATGCAACACAACTACTATGCAATGACACTACTATTCCATGGTTCCAGAAACAAGCACTTCAAGTTATTTTTAGTAGTGAAGTTGTGCCAGATTTACATGCTGGTAGGACTTTCCTCATCATGACCAATGGTATGCTTTGTCAGACTGCCAGGGATAAGGAACACGCCGGCACATAGCGCAGACCCATGGCGCACACGTCTGAACTTTGCTCATCTCCTACCAGCAGGCCTGCCACAGTCTGGCCAGGTGTACACACCTCACCTGTGGAGTGGCCCGTGCTGGCCACCACAAAACACCCAGAGGCCTCACAATGCCTCATTCCTTGGGAGTTAATGTTTCAGCAAGATTACCATTGTAACTAGTCATGTGCTTTGGGAGCCATTTGGGGATCTCAGGAGAAAGCTGACCTCTTTTCAGTTTCCTGTGATGTAATGCTTGAAATAGTAGGAAGACAGTAGAATGAGCTGAATTAAGTGCCTGGTTAACAGGAGTGTCCAGAGATAAAGCTATCAAAACACGTTACCTAGGACTCAGTTTTGGGCTGATAAGTTTGAGTTGACCTTTTCTAGGTCAAACTTTAAGTAGGGTTTCTCCAGAGTTCCTGTGACTGTATTCTAATCGTTTGAGTCCTGACTTCGGGATCCTGAACCCAGATCTGGATGCTTTTAAAGTGAAATATCACTTCTCCGGCCTGAAATGCTACCGGTTTTGTCTCTCACAACCTTGTTTTTCTCTGATAGAAGTAGGATTGTCAGTGGCTCCAGACAGTTCTGAACCACAAAATCCACTACGTAAGTAAACGGAGTTTCCTTTCTCTCCCCTCTGGGAAACCCAAAAACTTGCTTCCCCGAAGCAAGAGGACCGAGTGCCCGGCCTCCCTGGGGAGGCAACCCTGCGAGTGCAGGCGCGCTCGTCCACTCGTCGCTAGAGCCCGGAGGCCCCGCCGCGCCGCCCCAAGAAAGGTCGGTCCGAGGGAACAGATGGCCGCGGGCTCGCGCAGCCCGCCGACCGCGCGGGCGCCCACACCCGAGCTTCTCCGGCCGGCGAGGAACCGCGTGCGGCGCCGACGGACACCGCCCCTCCGAGGCACCCGGCCCCGCGGCGCAGAGGTCG